TTTCTTTCTTTTTTTTTTTTTTTTTTAACATGTGCAGTTGTGCTTTGAAGTCTCAGTACATTGCAAACCGTCTTAAAAAAACAACCATCACACAGAATATGTGTACGAGTATGCTTTTTACACGGGCTGGCCTGTCTGATCTCTGAGCAAGGGAGAAGTTTGGCCTCCAGTTGGTGGTTTCTTACATTGGCACAACATGTCATCAGGAGCCGGCTTCGGGATGGCGTGTTGCAAGCAGACTCGTCTTTTGGGCAGCAGGAGAGTTAAGAAGGCAGCTGGGACATCCTGTGCTGGAACGATGCTGAAGACTGGGACAACAAGGGCACTGGCAGGACGTTGCAGTGTCCCTAGCCTGGAGAAGCAGGGATTGCCACAGCTGCCTGACATGGAAATTCGGGACTTAAAAGGCTGAGAATTTAGGACTGCAAGGACCCCTATGTCAATCTTAAAAAAAAAAAAAAAAAAGAAGACTATGTAGATGCACCTCAGGTCAAAGGAACCCTGCAGATGGGACATGAGAATAGCATTTTCCCTTGCAGAGGTGTCATGTAAAGCAGCTGAAATGTGAGGAATGGCATCCCCATCCCCAGCTTGGCTGAGGGAGCTGTGCTCCATCCAACTCCTACCTTCCCACGCTTCAGCTCTCCAAACCCCCATCCCACCCCAGGACGTGGCTGGGCAAGCAAGCCCCATCAGAGAGCCACCCGCGAGCCTACACCTTCCTCCAGTTTCACCCAAGTAAAAGCATCCCCCCCCTCCCCAAGCCCTTTTCTAGGCCCAGCATCCCCCACAAACACCAGGGGAGGGGGGAACTCGGAGGATTTGGGGAAGGAGCTGCAAGGAGGACGTGGGAACGTGCCGCGCACAGGGAGCTCTGGGATGCGCCGGGGGCCCCTGCGCTCTGCCTGCGGACAAGTTGAGCCGCGTCCATATCACGCTGCGACACCAAGAGAGGCGGTCTTCTGCAAACCTCCAGGCCAGGTGCCAGTTTTCTTTCCCTTTGAAGGCTTGTGCACGGGGCTGTGAATTTTCTCCAAGGGGAGGAGGTGAGTGAGTTACAGAGACATCCTGTCATCCATCTTGCAGAAAACACGCCGCTCCCTTTGCACCTCTGCTGGCACAGTAGCAATCGATGTGCCCACAGCCCAGGACCAGGCCCAGGGAAAGGCTTTTCGTTTGTTTGCCGGCGCAGGTTTCCCGAAGCTAATTAATGAGCTGAGCAGATACCCTGCAACAGGTATCGATGACAAGGGTTTTCCTGTGCGCTCCGCTCCCGCTCAGGGAGAAGGTGAATTGCACCGTTTCCTCCTCTCCCTCCCACCCCATCTGCCCCCCCCCA